TCAGCATGTTCCAACATATTTCAAACTTACCTGAAAAGCTTTATATTGCTTTTTGAGATGGCATATCCCCCCAACAATAGGGGTAATATGACCTCTTGGAATGTATGCAAAGGCAAAGGCGCAATATCTGTGCTGCCTTTTGCGAGGTGGAAGAAAGGTAAAATTTTCACAAATTGATTTTCATATTATTATATATTACGATACATGGAAGGTCTCACTCTTTCCTATGCTGATGACATTAGCACATTAACATTAACATTAATAACAACTTAACTGGTATTACCTTTCTTCTATCACCTCACTCCCCCACCCCACCTTCTTTGCGGAACTCACTAACACAACTCTCTACCCCAAAGCATTCACATCGAGAACAACTTCGTTCACGTTCGCTCACGTTCGAGAACAACTGAAAATTCCACTTCCTGGCCTATCAGCCATTAATTTTATGGCGCATCAGGGACACATCATGGTGATTTTGAGAAGCTATGCGTCCTCAGTTTTCATTAAATGAAAATTGACTCCAAACTCAGTTACGACGCACCATGTGATACATTATATGGACCATGAAATCAAATGATGGTTGAAATGGTACGGGAAGCAGCCTATATATTATGACTTTCACGCGAAGATGAAAGAAAAGTTGTGGGTTTCAATAGTTGAAGCGATACGTGTGGCAGGCTTTCATGTTGGCGTCAATGTCAGTGATATGGGAGGCGAAAACTATTATTGTGGAAGCAACTCCGCATTACACATGAAGAGAGCTATTGCAGGCACCCCTGTGATCTACCTCATCCCGTTTTTCCTTTGCGGATGCCCTTCACCTTGTGAAACAGATTCGATCAACGGATTCAGGGATGGGATGCAAGGCTAGCTTTTGCCCTATTGACACATGCTAAAAGCAATCGCCAACAGTTGAATCATGAAGACAGTCATATCCCAAAAGGAAGCCCACACCCTATCGAAGCGAGCCAAAGGCGAATCATATCCAAGCTACTACGTCACTACACGAGCATTCACGTGCCTCAAGTGACTGCACTCCCTCCTCGACCGCTAGGCGCGTGCGCCACTCGAGCCTATGATATCTTGACTTGGGTGTGCATGTGCATGTTCATAAATGTATGAGCGTGTGTGCGGGGACGTGTACGTGCTTGTGTGAGTATGGCCTAACAAGGTTCACTCGAAGTCAAGTCGATGCTCGCCAAAGGAAATCCCTCATGATCAACTCTAATAACTTACTCGTCCACCTTTGCACCTATTCCCCACGGAAATATACGGTGGAGTTCATGCCTCCGGAATCCTATTATATACCCATTTCTTCATAAGCGTGAGTCCATAGTGATGATGTTTTACCTCTTCCTTATTTGCCATGTGGATTGCAACTCATTCAGCCGGGGAGCATATCCACTATCGTTTCCATCTTTCGATGCAATGCTTCATTAAGTGCATACGATTTCCAAAAAAATTGCAGCATGGAGCATTTCTTCTCTAAATATAATTTGATGTTCGGCTGGAATTAGTCTAGTTCCATTGAATAAATCATCGACGGTTTTGTCTAGGATTGCGCCTTCTTGCGACTGAGAAGGTAGGATGGGAGAACCAGGGCAAAAAAAATAAATTATTGCACATTGAATAGCGAACGTCTTGCAGGGTTCTGTGATATGACAAAATAAGGATGAATTATGAAGGACGGCATGAGAGAGATAAGGAGAGGCGCGAGGTTGTCCTTGACTGGCGACGATCCGTCGTTGGGGAGTGGAGAATGCCTTGCATTTAGAAGACTGTTCTTATGAAGTCAATCCAGGCTCCGAGATGCCAAATTCTTTAAATTATCGCTTGCTGGATGAGAGAGTCCATATTTTCCGATTTCATATATCTCCGTTACAACGCCTGACGATTGCACTCCGGACAGAACTGGAAATGCTCCTATAAAACATATAAACATGAGTCGTTCACGACCCATTCAGTCTATTAGGGAACACAATAGCCTGAGTTGTACAATCACGGAAGTAGGATTCTTATAGGACCTTTTCGTAAGGGCGCTATGATTTTTTGAAACATGAAAAACCTGTAGAATTTCTATAAGAAAGTTCCTGTAGGAGAAAGTTATGTTTCCCATAGAATCCTACAAGATACTGATAGGAACTTACAATTTCTTCTAGTCATTCTCTACAGGATAACACGGATAACAAGGATGACCGTTTCTTTTGTATTGGATTATATAGGATCCGATAGGAACCCACAGGAAACCTATAGAATCCTGAAGGTTTTCTATTGGTTTCCTATAGGATTGATAAAGGATTCCAATGGGAATCCTATTGGTTTTTCACGCTTCAAAAACCTATAGGATCCCTATACATTCGTGTACATTCCTGTAGGAGGACTGTTTTGTAAAGGTGAATTATGCATATTTGAAGAGAATGAACCCTATTGTCTCATCTCAAAGATACGCATGCTTAGGGATGCGCTGGCGCAAGATGCCAAGAGATTTTGTAACGTTCCAACAACTACTTTCAATCTCTTCCCAAAGAACTGGGTGATTTTTTGAGCTACGTATGCTAATGAAACTCCCTTTTTTTCTCTTCTCTTGTGGAAAAATAAACTTTCAGAATATTTCAAGCAAAGCAAAATCAACGTGTCTGCCTAATATTTTGGCGGGAAAAGGAAAACCAAAATGGCATGTATTATACAAGGTGGCCAGAAATTAGCGGAAGATGTGTAGGGCTTGTAATTTTTTATTGAGGACACATATGGAAAACATATTTACTACAAAACAGTCTCCCGATATCCAAGTTTTTTTTTTTCGCGTGGTCGCAGGTGCTCAATGTGGGCTCCTTTGGTAACACGACACACATCCCCCCTATAGGCAATTTGCGTGTGGAAGCATCCCGCACCGTATCCACCATTTATTCTCGCAGTGACGTTCGACCTGGACTAAGGTTCCTATTCCACCCCGTTCGCAAATGCCATCGGACAATCGCCGACCTGCTAGGAGGGTTCTTTGCAAACTTCGTCCGAAAATGACGCTGTAAACTGCAGCAGAACGCGTATCTTCATATGCGAAACCGCTAAATGCTCGTTCACTTCCACTGAACTCCGCCATTACTGTTTGTCCTATCGTCACCTCACTAGAGGTAAAATTATGAAACTTTATCCAAACGGGGAATACACTTGAATATAGGGAGATTGTTTTGTTGCAAATAAGTTTTCCGTTTGTGTTCTCAATAAAGTACAAGCCCTCCAAATCGTCCCCTAATTTGTGGCCACCCTGTAGAGTATAGAATATACAGGGTGGGCCATAAGTAACTTCCTGATTTGAAATAGCGTTATTTTGTTTTAAATTACTTTGCTTAATTTTTTTTTACAGAAATAAAGGAGAAGCCTGGGAGTTCATGATGAACCAGTACCTAGGTATACACCTCAGCAGCGTCCAAGAATTGTTTTAAATTATTTCAGAAACAATTGTTCAAATATTTCAACACGGATAGAATATCGTAAGTATGTTAAGACCCGAACGGCTCGATCTCCACGCTGTATACGAGCGTTGATTTCCCGATTTCGGGAATCAGAAACAACGGTGGATGCAAAGCGTGTTGGGAGACCTGGAACATGTCGTTCAAGTTCTATTGAGCAAGTAAGGGTCTCCCTTACTTGCTCAATAGAATATGAAAACCCCATTGTCAGTGTCATTGAGAACCCCGAAACTTCGAGGAGACACTCCGCTCAATTGGGGATCTCATGACGGTCGTAGCGGCGAATCTTGCTAGACATATGTCGCATGCAAGTTGACCCCGACGTGCAAGTTAAAATTGCATAGTAATTCGTCGTGCAAGTTGAACTTGCACCGTCAAATCATCGTGGGTTAACTTGAACAGTCGATCACTGAGTGCAAGTTGAACTTGCATGGGCAAACCCTTGTCCATGTTAACCTGGATTGCACATTTTCGTGCAAGTTCAGAGAAGCACTTCATCTCGGACAGAATAATGTTCGCATGTCTTCGACCACCAGCACTTGATTTATTTTCGAGCCAGCGCGTCAAACACCATGCTATGAATTAGTTAAAGACCCTAATGAATAATAAATGAAGTAACTGCTTCATGACGTCAAATTGTCCATGAAAAAAGAGTATGCAGCAACTTTGCCAAATGTCTGCATACAAGCCTTTCTGTTAAGCACACCTTTTTGATTCATTTTTGGAACGCATCCATGACCCACGGCATCGAGAGTTGCATTGGGTATTACTGACTACCCATTTAAATCTTTTTTTTTTATAATTTAGATGCATTGTTCGCAATAACGTATTTGAAGGGGGGCAGGAGGGGCGAGTAGCTGCCTCCCCTGGTGCCCCTGGGACTGAGTCTGGCGTCACCTTATAGGTAATACTTTTTCCACCTAATATCACTTGGATGGGGTTTGGCGCTCCACCCCAGATCCTTCAGCCAAAATACGGCACTGATCGTTTGCCTTCCTCACAAGCTCCTCTTCCTCCTTCGAAGACTAGGACGTCCTAATGCTTGAGGATGGTCTTCCCGTGCTCCAGCCGGGCTTTCTTCTCATTGATCTTTGTAGCTTTGACCTCCGCGACGAGCCACTCGTATCTATCTATCGGAAACACTGTGTTGTCGGGAGACTCGGTCTTCTCTTAGAGCTCCAACAGATAATAATTGAGCGGGATTTTCATGCTATTTTCACGGATTTAAAGAATGATTGTCAGAAGAAAACCACTAGAGCTTTTAAAGAAACGAGAACGTTCACTCTCAGTTATATCGCACGGAACAAGTTGAGAGAATAAGGCTGTCAGTGAAAGCGAAAGGATGAAGGCACTTTCCTTATCGTTTTCCCAAGGCCTGGCGCACTAAATGTAAGTCTTATTCTCGATAAAAATCGTCGAAATGTATATCATTGGCTGTCTAGACATCCCTCCTGAACTTGCACAAAAAGTCCATCGTGTGGGTTAGCTTGCATAAAAAAGAATACATGCAAGTTAACATGCATAGGGAAAATGACGGGTTCAAGTTGCACGGAATATTTTATGATAGTTCAACTTGCACGGAAAGAACAACTTGCATACGATACAGTATATACATACCAGCTATGGTATACAGGGTGGCGCAAAAAAACCGGTCCATTTTTTAAACTGGTCTAGAACAGGAACTATTGAAGCTAGAAGGTTCAAAACAAAACCAAATGAAAATTCAATCCAATCCCTTTCCAAAGATGTATGGTTTTATGTCCATGGGTGCCATGGAATGGCTGTCATGGCCAATTGAAAAAATCATACCCCCCAAAAAGTAGTCAAATGATGGGAAAATGATTGTTCCACCTCAACTAACCTTTATTTATTCAGGAAATGTTNTTTTTTGGGGGGTATGATTTTTTCAATTGGCCATGACAGCCATTCCATGGCACCCATGGACATAAAACCATACATCTTTGGAAAGGGCTTGGATTGAACTTTCATTTGGTTTTGTTTTGAACCTTCTAGCTTCAATAGTTCCTGTTCTAGACCAGTTTAAAAAATGGACCGTTTTTTTTTGCGCCACCCTGTATATACGGACCGTACCTGGACAGAGTCCTGCACTTGGAAACTTGCGCTTAAGTTGTTAAAAGCTTAAATTAAAGTCTAGATCATGAGTTGAGCCATATCCATAAACTTCCATTTCAAAACATTGATTTATCCCGTATTCTTGTGGGCACTGGATGAATGCACAGGACATACAATTTTAAAAAATCCAGGTATTCTTTGATCTATTTTGAAATTTCCCAAACCAATTATTCAGACTGTTAGTGGATATATTATGCATGTCCATATTACCCCAAGTTACCCTATGACTGATTTGCAGCTAAGAGGACCCAAAAATGGGAAAGAGGAAAAAGAAGGGACCACACAAGGCAAGGAGAACTCATCCTGCAAATGAGGAAGAAATACAAGCAGAGGATGTCAAAATGGGGTTGCAGCATGCTACGGGTGAGCTAAATGACCTCAAATGAATTGGATTGATCTACCGTGGGGACCTCCAATTCGGTAATAATGCATGTTATTTACAACCTGGGGATTATGAAGGAAAATTGCACTATGGGATGAATTTATTGGTCTCACCACTTGTAGGTTCATATTTTTCAGCGCCTTCTGTCGAGCAACCTGAAGGAGCACACATTCCACTGAGAAATACTTCCCTGGAGAGGTTGTGAGTCATGCATGTGCGGAACCTTTGCGTGTTCTACTGCTCATATTAATCGGAACGTTATTCACCTTGTTACAAGCAGAGAGACGTCTTATGCAAGGGCATTACGAGATGTACGAGACACATTCAAGAACATGGGTATATGGGTCAATATGAGAGACTTCATCGATAAACTGGGGGACAAGATTCACTTTGCGGAAGATGAAAGACTAAAAGGCATTAAAGATTACTTCATTCAGGTTGACGAAACTTTTAATATCCTGCTTAAGAGAAATGCTGAGCAAACCTATGAGAATGTTCTGCAGATTCTGCAGAAAATGGAGAGACCAGACATAATCGACATCCACAAGAAGTATTTCGGTGAGTTCTCATATGAAATCTAAAATTCCAATGTTCATGTGAACAAATTAAGTGACCGGAAAATAATTTATTACAGTATACCTTGTTCCACTGAAACAACATGCCATGAATGTTGCAATAACAGAGAGGTATCTCATTTAAATTGGTTATCATATCAATGGATCAATAAACATACAGTAAATACTTTACACTGCCACGGTAAGCATCTTTCAAGGAGCAATATTGCCAATAAGTTTGATTTTTGCATGCTTCTCTAAGAAAGAATAATACGAAGGAATATGAACAGTTGTTCCTATTTCCCCGCGCACATAATTCCCCAGTCATCATATCCAATGCTTCCGGTACGTGTCTTTGAGTTTCGGAGATAATAATTCTGAGAATGAAGTTGCTGCAAAACACATTACCCCACACTTAGAAGTAAAAAAACGAACAGGGCGAAATAACTTTGTTATAATAGAAAACAGTCTGTGAAAACCTTGAAATGATGCATTATTACTGTCTCCAGTGTTATAATCCCATAGTGCTGGCATAAATGTACGTATTTTTTTTTAATCGACGTTATAGGTGAGCCGTATGGAACTGAGGACATGCCCAAAACCAGCACAGCAAGTGGATCCACTAATGCGTATGTTCCAGGATATGCAGCAGAACCTATTTGCTCTCATGAATTCAAGCAACTTTTATGTTCAACAGATCCATTCTTGGTAGCCCAAGCGCCTTGTACTAGTCATGTGGACAATTTTGTACGGTTAGAATCTCATCTTCATATTTGACAATACGGAATATCCATTTTTTTACATTTTCAAATGAATTTGTTCCGTCATAATCTTCCACCTTCTTAACCTAGGCTACTATGGAAAGTCGGGTCAGAATATAGGGTCAATGAAAAATGAAAATCTCGCCTCCTTCCCGTCATTATGGAGCCATGAAATATCATTAATATATTGCCAACTTAATATCATTTTTGTATGTGCAGAAATTCTGAAACATGTGCTTAATGATCCAAGTGAAATGTGAAATTAAGATTTTGCTGGAGTTCTCTAACGAGAAAAATAATAGACTGATGTTGCTAAGCAAACGTTGCTAAAACCACATGACAGCAACTCATCGCACGTGCGGTATCCCTCAATATTGGCAAAACAGTCTCTCATCCTGCTCAAGATTGCCCAGTTCAACGAGTGCATAACTCGCAGAAACCTGCGACTATGGCGGATGCTGCAACATGACTGCTGAATTCCCTTCACGAGGGATGGAACAAAAGCAAATGGGCCTTGTTCGCGTACCATTTTTATCGTTCGCTCCCAAAAGAAAAAATCCTAACAGGTCAAGTGAGGTGACCCGTTTGAACAAGGCACTGTCATACGTTTTCCATTCGTCCTTTTCTTTATCAGATGCTGTAGAACTTGGCGGTTAACTTGTGGGGTATGGGGTAGCTCATCTTGTTTTCACAACGCTCTCTAACATCAAGGCCCTACAACTGCGTCGAGGGCTGGAAATAATTTATTCCCTAGCAATTACTGGAATCAAACAGCATTGACAATCATCGGACCCCTAGCATTGTTCAAAAGAATGTTGTCAACATTAAATGCAGCCAATAAATGTGGAATATCATGACATTGGCGCTCTGTGTCGAAATGTTATGGCAATTATCAGGTAGTCCCTCACTTCTCTAGCAATAGATGACTGCATTCCTTGAGATCACATTCCCACTGATTTTGACTGCGGCTTCATCAGGGAAAATCACGTCTTGAATTAAGGGATACCGCCGGAGCAAGATGCGAAACATCTAGACGCTTAACGTATAATCAGCTGGCTTCAGATGATGTATCACCTGAAGTTGGTAGAGAAGCATTTAGAGATATTGCATAAGTATTTTCTTGACACTCCTGGCCCACTTTACAATTGCTTGAGTTGTCCTGCGATGAATCTTGTCGGTACCTTTCATGCTTTTCTCGAACAATTTCAATGATAGGAGGAATCCGGAACTGAGCTTAGCAACATATGGTTGAAATCGCACCGCGGTCGCTGATCCAGGCACGAACCACACTTTGGAAATGGTTCTAAATCTCTCTAACTTAGCAAGTAGACAACTTTTGTAAATGAGTACCTCGAGCTATATCACGAGCTTTTCGAAAGCTGGAGGCACCAAATAGCAAGTATTTTATTTTAAATTTCTTACGTGGCGAATTCTTCATTTTTCAGCTAGCAACAAAAGTGCTTTGCGTGATGAAACGCAAAGGGTCGCTAAGAGTCATCCCTCCAATGGGTTTGTCTTGAGCAGATACCATGAATTATTTAGCCCTTTAGCCTTTTTCCTACGCTCATGTAAAAAATAATGTTTCAACTTTGATGGGAATCCATTCATTTTCTCATCGGCCCTATATTCTCCTCACATGTTCAAATTGGCCGAACAAAATATAGAAAAGTTACTATTGAATGACTCAAAAAATGGGGGCAATGATAAATATTTTAGTCATGATAGCAACGTAGTAATTACCTCGAAGCTGCCGACGTAATTTAAAAATGTTATGGCAGAACGTTCTCAATTTCTTGCCGTATGTCAACGGCGTCAGATTCAGACCATGATTGTTCATATTCGTGGAAAGTGAGTCTTGTCTTCCATTATACGCTTTTTAAAGGTGGCTGGACTCCTTGTTTCTTCTCATGTATACATATACCTGTAGTTTTCGTGGACTGACTAATGACTTCTAGGCAGTTCACTCGAGGACAGTCATGCTTTATACCAATTTGGAAGTACTAAGTGAACCCCAAGACCATTCTCTAGGAGTGCATCTCTACACAGTTGGTACAAAGTCTGCCATATCTGACCATAAAAGTTCATGAATGCAGGATATGGACTCTATTCATGTGAGAGCTTGCGTTTTTTTTATACCAAAAACGTTGTAGCAGAACAGGACTTTACTGTTAATGGCATGCGATATCACAATATATCAAGTTATTACCTAACTTCTGATGAGTTTTCTGAAACTTCCAATGAGATGAGACAGTCGAGACTTACTTTTAATCTGTTACGATCGCCATAGTGATGTATTTAACATGAGAATTCATCATTTTCCCTGGGAAATTCAGTAAAATGTACTAAACGTGGCAAGTACCAGCTTTTCCCCATTTGTCTTTTCAGTTTATCTCATTAGTTTTGGAAAAATCCCCATTATCTATAACTTATCGTACATTATGAATGTTTAAACTCATACCTGGGATCCCATGAAAGTTGAGGTCTGTTGAGGTAGCTAAGTTTTTCATTAGGTATGAAAAGTGATGGTTTATGATCCGTCCACATGAGAATAGTTCTGTAAGCAGAGTGCTTCCTTTATTTCTTGAAAGCTTTAAACTATATTTCCCTCAGTTGCAAGACCGAGCAGTTCCCAGGTGCATCACCAAAGCATGGCCGTTCGCCCAATACAGTAACCAGCAATTCGGACCATGTAGAGGTATGAGTTTCATAATTTTGATCCTTGGTGGATAAGAATATTCCGTTGATACGTTACGTGCTCAGACCATCCAGAGAGAGAGGGGAAGTGGAACAATATATTATGGACCTAACGACGCCAGCATTGCACTTCCCAGTAAATGCAGTTGTAGTGGTTCTCTGGAGCAGTCTGAAGTGCATTTGGGAGGAACGGCTGACCTCACAGTGATGATCCAACATAGGAAGATATTTGATCGCCTTCAATTACTGTTCATGGCATTAGATATTTGAACACGTACACCGACAGGGAATGATAATGCCTACCTATGAACAAATTAAGTGTGTGATGAAATATAACTTGAATTATTTTGCAATTTCATAGTAATAACGTGCAATCTTAAGAACTCCGTACCTTACAACCCCTAAATGTCAAGGCAAAAGCACGTTCAAAGAATGATGTGTCGTCAGTCTTGCTTCGCACCTGATTCACGCATGACTTGTAGCATTTTTCGTGGGTCGGCCCCCATGCAAAGGTGGGTTAATAGCACTTATCGTCATTATGACATGAAATGAATAACTCAATATTCATCGTACGTTCCTATTTTTTTCCACTCTCTTTTTTGGCCGCAGAGCTACCTTGACAATTTCCGACACTCCCAGCGGCAGTAAGGACCAGACTCTTTCAGTCTGTCTGTTCCAAGTTCTACTCCGAGGGAAAGTCCGGAACTTCATCAGATCATCCAACTTTTTCTAAAGTCATGGATTATGGAAAATATTGTTTCATATATCTTCTATTTGCCATCCAACGGCCAGTATCCCCTGTTTGTCATAGTCCTATATAAGGGCTTCAATGACCCAGTACCGAACTCATTCATATTCAGCAAATAATTGTCGAATATGATAACTTGCTTGCATAACAGGGAACGATTTTGAGCGTGTCTGTGATAGGGTCAAGATTTGCAAAATGATTATTAAAATTGTGTAAGTACACATTCTCACTATGCAAATATATTTTCTCAGTGGTAAGAAATCCTGTATGTACACCCTCATAACTTTCAAGACGTACATTTAAAATATTGTTCTCTTTCCAAACAGGTGTTCAAGGGGTGTAATTCATTTCATAATAGTCTCAAGGAAGTGACGTCACTGGATGTATGCAGCCGTAAAATTGGTGTCGACGTCAGAGATTCTCTCATGGTAAGAATATTGGGCATATGGACTCATGTCAAATGGATTCAAAAAGAATTACGAGCAAATGGAGGAATGGATTTCGAAGCTGGCGTATCTCGTGCTTTCGTTCCCGTGTGGGGATTTTTCTAAGAGCAAAATATATCCAGTAGGCCCATGAATAACTTGGCAAGCTATATATTCGAAGTTCACGGACAATTTCCTGGTCTTTAGTTTGGTTTCACGCATTCAACAATTTTGCTTCGAATCCTGACTCAATGAACCATTTATGAGTCATGAATCTCTCTGCCTAACGCCAAAGTTAAACCACATTCAGATGGAAGAGTGTTGTGAGCAACCCAGAAGCATTTAGGCAAGCAAAACATCTCTTCCTTTCCATATCAAAGCTTTTGCGATTGGAATCTTCTTTGACTAAGTATATACAATGTAATTCTTAGGTTATCAAAGATTTTACATATCTTTACTGACCTGTTATGGGGAATGGTGGTTTTCCCACCAGGAATCAGAGGCTTCTTGATCCTGAGGTTCCGAATAATTGTTTCTTCGAAAATTTTGACAATTGTCGCACTCCCGTATCTTGGGCGCTAATCGTAATGATATCATAAAGACTATCATAAGCATCATAACATTAACGTTTCAGATAGAATAACAATACATTAAGAAAAATGCAATTTAACATTATTTCCCCCAGGTGTTCATCGGAGGCGACAAAGAGAAGAAATTCATGGAGGCAGCCAAGGAATATATTGATACTTACTATCCGCATGCTGGAAAAATTCATTATTCTCTCCCGTCTGGCCTCCTTCTGAAAGAGTTGGAGATGGAGAATGTGGACTTTCCACCACACTTTTTAGCTAAGGCCAGTGTATTCGATCAAGTGAAAAACACTTTTAAGTATCATCCCTCGTTGGTGGTTGCTGACTACGAGTTTTCCAAGACCTTCAATGTGAAAAAGACATTTGAAAAAACTCTGAAAAAAATATCCGAAGACTTTCCAGATGAAGTCACAAAAGTCAACATTCCTAGAGTCGAGGACCTGACAGCTCATGACAATTTTTTGTCCTACCTTAGTGAAAAGACGATTTACAATATATTCTTCCAAATAAGAGACACTACATCGAAATATCACGGTGGTAGAATCAAAGACGATATTCAAAAGGCTATCACTAAATGTAAAGATGACAGAACATGGTTCGAGACGATGTGTGGGCCCTTCCTTGTCCCTCCAGACAATTCGCAACAAGCAACAAAAATTGCTGCCTTTCCAGCCTTTCCCCTCATGGAGAGAGGGGAACTACTGAGACTGCTGAATTGTGAATCATGCTCAGGGAAAATCTTGACAAGGGACGATCTCTGTGATTCAAAATCTCTTGAACTTTTTCTCAAACAGAACGGTGTGGAAGCGGATTCATTTGATCCCAGTAGGGCCCAAAGCATTATCAATGAAAATTTCAGAGAAGTTATATATTTATATATTTGTGCTGCCCATTTCGTTGAAATGCCACGGACCGATTTCCAGTATGCCGAAGCTTGCAATGATCAAATGAAGAAGTTGGATATGCTGGGCATGCTGACTCCTAAGCAAAAAGAACTTATTGAGGACACGTCAAGGATTCTCCTCATCGCTGGTGGATCTGGTACGGGGAAGACCATCATTCTGAAAGAGAGAGCGAAGTGGCTTGCTAAAAAAAAACCTAACGCTGAAGTATTAGTCGTGAACCTTCCTGGAGGACTTCTCACAGAAGAATTTCAGCTCTCCTTTAAAGGTCAGTAAATTGACGGACTTCACCTAGTTCTTGAAGAAGGACGAGTTATTTATCAAACAGTTACTTAAGAATCGATATGTACATTTGTTTCCCCAGCCTATTTTCATGTGCCCAATTTTCTTCCTCATCGCCTTTCCCACAAGAGGAAAATTAAGAGATGTTTGGATATTGTGCCGTCACAATGTGGAGAACACTGCTAATGACATGAATATGCCAGAGCCCATATTTATTGGTTTTGGCTCATCCTCCTATGGGCTTCATTCATTTAAAAAATGTTTCAAAATTATTCCATTCATATAAAAAGTGTAAGCCTATAATGGAAAAGATGTAATATCACGGAAGAGTCCAATATGGTCAGACAAAAGAAGAAGAATTTTTTTCCAGAAATCCTTGGTTAGAATCTTTTCTTAATCAATGAAGAAGTTCTGGGAGAAAGGAGTGATAAGCTAGTGTCATCTTTTTCTGCCTCGTTAGGGGAGTCCGCACGAGTACTCAAGCCTTATGGTAATATCTTCTTTCTCTCTGCAAGTATCTGCATGAACATAAAAGGCGCTTATCGTTCTTGTGATGGGATTTGTGATTATACGTTTATTTAAAAACTGTTATAATGTTAACATGAAACTGAGAACGTAAATATTGAGGATTCCTCACTATTAAAAGTGATTTAATTTCAAAGTTTCAGTAAGTAGTATCTCTGAAGCTCCTGAACTCTTGATTGCTCACCCATTAGCATCTGAAGCCCTGCACAGAATTATCGTCAACACTAATGATGTAATGAATTATGCGATAAAATATAAAAAATGCATGTCTCTACCGTCATGTGACCATATATCTGAAGGGCCTCCAATCGAGTTCTAACTGGATTAAATCTGACTCACTCCACTGTTCGCACATGTTTCTCACACGTTGCTTCTTTAGTACTTCCCGGGCAAGGACTTCCTGAAAGAATCAGAACTTTCTTTCGCAATCGAATCTTCTCAGTTTTACAATGAACCTGGTAGATCGTTTTCCTACCTCACATCATCGAGGTAGACAAGGATGATACCTGCAGAAATATTATCCTTCAGGAAAAATTATATCGCCAACAATTTCCCAATGTTACTTTTACTTTCTATAGCCTATGTAATGCTATAAAACCAACGGGAAGAGGCAACTTCAATATAAAAAGTTCAATTATTCCAATACATGTATATCACCAATGGAAATGTATTACCAGAAAATTAATTTTGGGGATTTTGCTCGTTGTCAAGAAAATCTTAGCTTACCTACTTATTCAACATGTTTGGAGCGCAGGCTACGGGAAGATCTGAAAAGAACCTATTACGGTTGGGCTAAATTTTCAAGATGAGCTACGTTGAATTAAATGATGAGCTATACACGGTGGAGACAAAAAAAGCAACGCTATCATTTTCGATTAGTTGTCAATCTGGCGTATGCTACCAATTTTAATAAAATTCGGTAGATATCTAGGGAGACTCAATTAGAGTTAGTATACCCAGCTTCATGCAACAATTAAAAATACTGTGTGATTGGCATTTAATTTACATTTCATCACCAAAAAAAAGCAAGTGTTCATTTTTTCTTTCATCTGAAAATCTTTCACAGCTGACAAAAACAAACAAGTAAGCGTAAGCAAACAAAGCAAAACAAATGCACAAATGTCAATTAAAAAAAGCCCACTATTTGGTTTAGGGACGTTCATTTCAAATGAAAAGGTGCTCATATTTCCGTCCATTCTGTTGAACACTAGCCTCTTGTCTGGGATAATTTCGATCAACTGCTTGGTCAATAAAACTTTGAGGCCGTGCCTCCTTATTTCCCTTTGTAGCATTATGCTGGAATGAAAGTTCATGAATTCATTTTATCTGAACCTGAGGTTCATATCGATATTTTCGACAGCACATTTTGTCAGTGGTCATCCCCAAATAAGTACAGCTCTGATAATTTTAGAACCAGAAAGCTGAAATTTGGCATATGAACTTCAGTTGTGTCAACCTATTTGATTAAATTTTAATTAAAATCGGCAGTCTACAAAGAGATTGACAAATCTTCAAAAATGACAGCCTCGTTTTTTTGGCCTACTTTGTATATTGTAGAAGAGAAGAATATCGTGATGTATGAAAAGAAGAGCGAGGGTGCCTTCAGTTTGAAATAATTAAAATGTTCCTGTATGTGCTTTCAGATAAGGATAATATCAAGGTGTTGGATGGGAAAACGTGTATCATCCCTGAAGAATGGCAGGAGATAGTTAATTTCCTTGAGAAGGAAGGAAAGGGAAAACATGTTCTCTTCGACGAAGTTCCTCTAACTATTGGAATCCGAGGCAATCTGGATGAGAAAAGCCTATCTGAGCATTGGGCGAAGATCTTAAATATCCAGGGCTGTCTGAGTCTAACCTTTGCCTTTCGCCCAAACGATGTCACTTACACAAAAGACATCAATATTCACGATATCAAGGTTGCAGGTGCCGCCATGAATGTCCTTGATGTCGTGAAAAGAAATACACAGCGGGTATCAGATTTATTTTTGGCTCTTGGGGATTATTCTCGCCGAATTTTTGTCTGCGAAGAACCTACCATGCGTGATATGGAATTTGACCACCGTGGAGGAAGATTACTGCCCACCTTGTTACCAATTGCCTCGTGCTCCATACTTCATGCTTCTTGCGAGAACAAGTTGAACTGTGACGCGGTCAGAAGCTCTACGGCTATATTTGTGATTGAGGCATCAGCTAAGAAACCACTGTATGTGTGCGTGAGCAACAGGGAAAGACGCGATCGGTTGATACACACCTTGAATCTCGCGTTTGACATAGAAGTCAAGTTCATAGATTCCCTAGGAAGATTTCGTGGAAAGGCGGAGTCTTCTATCGTTGTTGTCACTCAGGATCAGATTCTTGGGTATCACCCGAATAGCGAAATTGTCATTCTGGACCTACACGATTGCAAGTGGAGAAATTATGTCCGCATGCTCTCCTCATGTGAGAGCGAGGTGACAATCGTCATGGATCAGGAGACCCTGCGAACGGGAAAATATATGCCAGTCAGGATCGGCATGCCAGACTTGAAAACTGCTAACTCTTTGGATGAAACGAATAACAAACTCCAGGAAACATTTGAAGAGAATTTTAAGAAGGTGTGCGAGAGAGAGCAGGAGATAACGCATTTGGACGAGAATACATTTTCCCGAACGAGCATGCTTCTCTTTTATCACGAGAGGAAAAATGAGGGATGTTCAAATTCAGATATTTCCCAGAGTACACCAAAATTCACTGTAATATTTGGACCTCCCTCTTCAGGAAAGAGCATGGCATTGTTCGACAGCATCCAGCATCTTTGTCAAGAAAAACAGGAAAATGATCGTATTCTCTTACTCCATATGGGAGGCGTCCTCAGTCACCAAGCCTCTCTGGATCACCTTCAGAAGCATAATAATTCGCTGGATATTGTTCGCTCAGAGGCATGGTCTCCCCATGATATCCTCGATAATCATCAAGTACATGCCATAAGGTGGAAGTATCCAAATTCAACAATTCATGTGCATGTCGATGACTATCGCATCCAGTCCGGAAGCACGGATGAAGAGATTCAAATGTGGAGAAAGTTCAGGAGCACCCTGAGTAAAGAGCAGAAGCTGACGCTGACGATAGCGTTTCAGTCCCACTCGAAAGCCGGCCGAGGGATCTCCATGAAAGACCTGACTATTCTTTTCAAAGATGAAAAAGTAAATGTTATCACACTCCCAGAAAAAAATACTAGAATCATTCCTCATTGTACCAGCAACTGGCTTCTCAGTCACATCCATAAGAATGAGACCCACACCCCACTACGACTAGAAGTCCAAAGCCTTCCAACAGGCTCACGCCCTGGTGCCCTGGTCCTAGGTCCCAAACCCAAGTACATTACCATTGACTATCATTGTCAAGGCCATCACATAAATGAGAGATGCCAAGGGCAGGAAAAGTGCATGCCTTTTATCGGGGCTTTTTTTTGCTTCCGCTTCGCCCTCAAGAAAAGAAGAGAAGACGAGAAGAACGAAGAGGAGAGAGAGGGATGGAAAAAAGTTGGGGGAAGAAAGACGGGAGATGCCATTCACATACTACTGTCAGATTATGGACTTATGTCATTTTTGCAGAATGTATTCAAAGATGAAGAAAGAAAGTTGATATTTCTTCATCCGAGAGATTTTCGAGGGTGTGAATCCAGTGTTTCCATCATCGTTAATGTGGATGATTCTTGGCTTTTGGAGAGCATGTCCAGAGCGCGAACTGATCTCTTCATCATTGATTGCTTACCGAGCCATAAACAAGTATGGCAAACAATGCTGGACGAGGAGCGCTTAGAAATCTATCCAGTGACTGGAGAGGAATATATCGACGACGTCACCCTTCACCATCTAAATTCATGTGGAAATTTCCTTGTGTAAGTCCTTTTTATAGGCATATGTTGCAGCGTAGAAAAATCGAGGTGAAGTGGGAATACTTCCATAAAAACAAAGCGCATTCAAAAGCTCAGGGAACTGATTTTCTTAAACTTATATCTTTAGACTAGCCGATCCGTGGAAAACTTCCACGAACTCCCTGGCTCAAACTGCCGGCCAACTATTTGATTTCGTCCGGCCTGCAAAGTCCTCTTCTAAAGTTGGCTTTTAAACTGAGTAGACCATTTCAACCTGTTTGCAATTTAAGTTTTGGTGCAAGATTTGCGATTGTGGACCTAACCACTCCTGATGGGTTCCATCCGGGCGCCAGCCGCTTAGTCAAGTTTGACACTTCTGGCCGAGGCTAAGAGTGTAACATAGTCTGGGTCGCCAAAATGAATTATGAGGTCTGAGGGGAATATTCACGTAAATCGTCCCTTTCCAATCTTCTTCCCTCCCTGCCGCTTAAAATACACTCAGTGTTTTGCGAGCAAACGCTACGATAATAATAAACAATTGTCAATGCATCATCCGGTTTGGCGGTCCCCCCTCTCTTTCAACGGTCCTGAACACAGTCGGGAATCCATGAGTTCAGTCAGCACTTGAACGTTCTAGGCGGCAGCCGCTCTCTCTCTCTCCCGTTCTCGAGAACGAATCCAACAGTCGCAAATACTCAAAAGAAACTCCTTACTCGAGAGCGAGACGGAGACCCAATCTGTGGAAGACATCCACGAATTCTGCGTCGGCCTAGGCTAAGTGTGTATCATATTCGGATATTCACGAGTTCAGTCAGCGGCCCCATTAACGCTCTGCGCAGAAGCCACCGATATTATACGTCTTGCGCATCCTGCTCCCTCTTATTCACGGAGGTGTTCAAGTCTAAGATACGGACGTTTATCGAGCGGCACTCTTATCCCGATGAAATAACCACTATCCAAGGTAATTTATAGTGATTAGTGATTAATTCATTTATTTAATGATCTTGGATTTGAAGTAATGCATATAAAGATTGGTTACGCGATCTATTATTGCAGCAAGGAACTATACCGGGTGACGTAAAAAAAGTGTCGGATGACGCCTCATAAAATCCGTTGTGGATGATTTAGATTCATGATATTTTTATATTACTTTTGAAAAAACCACAAAATTTGTTTTCTGAAAGCTTCTTTTACTAGGCTGACCGAATAAATATATCGACAGTCGCCCAAAGTGGAATAATAAAATTGACCATTCTGCGCACTAGGAGGATGGAGTTGCAGGACCATTTGAAATATTTCTCTACCTTTACGTCATACATACCACTTTTTATGGCAGTTATCATCGTAGTATGCAACACATCGTAGAATAATCCTACTGGGGTACATTGTAGCATCAGAAGCAATACCCCGCAGAATGCTACGATAAGAACTGACGTAAAATGTGATAATCATAACGTCAAGGGAAAGAAATCCTTCGTGCAGTCCTGAAGCTCCATCCATCTCTTGCGCGCAAAGGGCCATTTTATGACGCCAATTTAAATTACTGTCAACATGTATTTAGACAGCTTAGGTACATGAAACTCTCATAAAGCAAATATGATCGTGTTTCCAAAGTAATATGAAAATATCACGGACCTAGATCATCCACAACGGATTTTATGAGGCGTCATTCAGCGCACTTTTTTTGCGTCACCCGGTAGTTAGTTCCGCATACTCGCCATATTGTCTGCGCAGTCGGACGCGCCACATATTTCAATGCATGAATGTAATGTTCCGTTACTTCTCAATCCAATTCACACATGGGCTCTCTTGAAGCTCTCAAGCCACCAAAAGCTGATTGGAACCAAATTTGTCAGTGTGAAACAATTCAATCGCTTCTAAGATTTGATGGTTTAGCGAATGGAGTTTTTGCGAAACTTCCTCGGTCCTGTCATTGATTACGTGAAAGATCCGTTTCCGGTACAATTGCATGGCAAATGCATGTGAGGCACAAACACCCACAGAAACGCTTGACGAGATCGGCCGTTGTAGCAAATGACCGCCATACAAGTTTTGGACGAACATGGAAAACAGAAATGACCGCGTCTAGAAGACTGGTGCAAAATATTTTCAAAAGTTGGCATTTTCCATTTGGTGAATTTCAACAATTTCAAGATAGTAAACAAGTCCAGAAATCTGTTCGCTGTCATTGCATGTTACCCACAGTTAAAGCTGAAATTCTGCGTTGAATCCCGTGCATAGAATACTACCAATATCATTGCAAGCTTGCGTTACCATAAAAGTCTTATCCAAATAGATGAGTTGAGGTTTGAGGGCTACTGTGAAAAATTTCTGAAGAGCAGTGAACAGTGACTGTTATGACTACACACATATCTTTCAGAAACTAAATAGGCAATTCATTGTCAACCTGAGCAACCATGGATTATAATCGATAGGACAGACCGAAAAGCACTGCTTGGAGATGATAACTCTTGGCATTTAAAATACTAGGTTGAGGAAAAAGTTCGTGCGCCGTATTAAAATAATGATTTTTTATATTTTTTGTGTTTTTGATCTGGTTTCGTGGCTATTATGAAATTTTATTGATTTTTTAAGATGTCTGATTACGAAATCACAAATTTTGAGCTTCGCGTATTGCTGC